TAAAAATATGGAGTATAGTGGGGATGAAAATTTTCATAATATTTAACTCAATTAATTTAAATTTAATTTAATTTATCAGGGATTTTATCTGAATTTGTTTCTTACTTTATTTTTAGTTTTAATTATTTTATTTTACTTTTTTATTCTATCTGAGCTTATCACTTTATTACTATATATAATTGAATTTAATATCTTTCACTTTATTTCATTTTATTTATACTATTTTAATTAGTTTTATTTAATTTCAATCTACTTGGTTTCATTTTATTTCATTTTACTTAACTTAATATTTTTTTATTATTAGTTAATTATATATTATTTTTATTTATTTTATTTATTTTTAACTCATTTAATTTTATTTTATTTACATTATTTTATTTCATTATATATTATTTTATTTGAATTTAATCTTTTTTAAATATAATTTAATTATTATTATTATTATTATTATTATTATTATTATTTTATTTTATTTACTTTATTTGCTTTTAGTGTACTTTATTTCAACTTTTTTATATAATTTTCTTTCAAGTTATTTTATTTTAGTTTAGTTTATTTTATTTTTATTTATTTATTAATTTTTATTATATTTTATTTTATTTTAATTTATTTTTTGCTTTATTTTAGCTTATTTGGTTTTACTCTAATTTTATTGCATTTTATTTAATTATATTTTATTTCATTTAAATTTATTTTATATAAAATTTTTTTAATTTCCTCTTTTTTTACTTTATTCTACTTTATTTTAATTTTCTATTGTTTTATTTTATATTGCATTATTTTATTTTAATTAATATTATTTATTTTTTTAAATTATTTTTATTTATTTTATTTTTATTACTATAACCTAATTTAATTTATCTTTATTTATTTTAAGCTATTTTATTTAGTTTATGTTAATTTTTTGTTACTATATTCTTTATTTTATTTTATTGATTTCGTCTTTTGCATCAGTTATTTCCGTGAATTTGCTTTACTTTGTTTATTAACTGCAAATGGCCACTTTGCATATGTGCCAACAATGAGAAAAGTCAAAAGATTTGCTTTTAACGGTTTCACACATTTACTGCCAATACATTTTTATTGATTTCACTTGAGTAACACACTTCAATTTCCGTCTTACCAACATCTGTCCGTGTTGTGTTGTTATTGGCAGCTTACTTTGGTGCCAAATTGTAAATGTGCAATTTCTGAAATGATTGTCCAGTTATTATATGTATGTATATTACTTGCCATTTCTTCATTGTATAGTTGTCATATCTACATATATAACTATGTACAAGGTTAATATAAAACTATTTTCTGAGGTGATCTGAGAGTTATGTGGCCAAGGGGGGACTATAAGTCTTCTTAATAACTGGGACTTTCCTAATTTCTTTTTTAGCTGTTATGTAGTTGAGCTCACTAATTTAATAGAGATAAGAAAATAGAACGATAGTAAAGACAATAATTAGAAGAAACACAGAAAACTTTTTATAGTTATTTGAAAACAAAAATAAATATTTTATCTAATGATGGGGAAATATTTTGAGCCATATCAACGATTTCTGCTTTAATTGCGAGAAAATTATTTCTAAAAAAATGTAAAAAAGCAAATATAAATAAAATTTTTTATAGAAATATGTTTTTCTCCTAAGCAGAAAAAAATTGTAAACACAATAATTTTGTCTAATTTCATTTAATTTCTCTGAGATGAAGTGCTTTCAATTTAATTCTTCCGAATGATAGTTAATTCGTTGTATTTGAAACAGGAAATAAAATAAATACGTTTAAAGATAGTAATTTTAATTAAAATAATTTAATAATAATTTAATTTAAAATAAAAAACGATTTCTTTTTGAAAGAAAACTTTTATAATTAATTTAATATAAGAAAATGTATGGGAGATCTTAACACTTTCATTTATACTGAAATTAGCTTGTGTTTAAAAATACTTATAATATCTTGCAAGCCTGCGAAGTTCTTATGATTGCATATTTGTATATTTCAAGTTGCTGAAAACAATCTGTATCGCTACACTACTCATACTTGGTTATGTTTAAATATGATTTTAATAAAGAACATATAGAAAAAATATTATATAAAATTATTCATTATTTATTTATATTATACATGATTAATTTCACTAATTTATTTATTATTATTTTTTTAGGTTTAGTTATATTGCTCTGTACTTGTTGTAAAATATAATTTTATCAATTAAATATTTTCATAAAAATATTTATAATATTGTTTTATCATTAATTATTATTTTTAATTATTTCACATTGTTTTATTATTATTTTTTATTATGAAAATTTGTGCAGTATTTTATTGCTCACTATTATGTTGTTGTTCCAAAATCTTATGCACTGAATATTGGTTTTTTAAATAGCAAATCCGAAAGTCCCATTTTGATTTAATTAGTACGATCGTTGTGAACACTTAACCTAATGTTTTATTAATTTTGCTTTAGTCTTTAGGCACTAAGAATTTAAAATATCTCGTTATTTTTTTATTTATTTTTATATTTTATTTTTTATACGATTTTTTTTATATATTAAAAAATTAATTAACTTAGCCTAATAAATTCAATTTGTTTTTATTAAATAATATAAAAATATTATTTCAATAAGAAATATTATGACATTTTCTATTTTTTTTCCTTTAATTATTTTATGCCTTTCAAATACAAAATTTTTAAATATAAACTCTTACTCGAAATAGTTTTTTTTAATTACTTATTTTTTTTAACTTCAAGGGATTGCATTTTTAATGTATATACATGTATTCAAGTAAATACTCTGAAAATTTCAAGTCGATCCGACTGTTATTTTGGAAGTTTCACGCATATCTGTAACGACGCGCCAGAGCATTTAAACGCGGAGGCATGTAGCGCCTCATTTTTCAACCACCGGCTACACCAAATAGCCTAAAAATTTTTACACAGGCTTCTGAGCAATAGCTTCTAGTACTTAGTAGAAGCTTTTGAATTACCGATGAAAAGTTTTTTTAGTGCGAAATTCAAGACCAAAATAAGAAGAAAAATTCCATTTTTTTTTTTTTGGAAAGCCGCCATTTTGTCAAAAAAATTTGTTGCCTTATTTCTCGATTGATCACAAGATTGATTATACATTACTTTAATGAAATTCGTTTAATTTTTATCATTTCAGACGATTCACTACGGAAATATAATGGGAATCTCAATGCTCCTTTTTTGGAAGCGCTCCCTGGAGATCTGCTGTAGGAGCTTCAAAAACTTTTATTTGTAGCAAATAAAAAATTGCTAACTACTTTTCAAAAGTGCCATAATATGTGTACAAATGCTGAAAATAATAAAGCTAAAAGTTTTCACGTGAAAAATGTTTGAAAAACCTCATTTTTCCAGCGCTCCTAAATAGATCTAGTTAACCCCTAAATGCCAATTTTAATAAAATAAAATATTTACAGAAAATCTTAAAAAAGAAATTTAAATGTAGATTTGCTACTACGATTTTCTAAGGCATAGCTATATTTTTTTTTAATTTTTTGGGTTAACTGAGGATTTTTAACTGATTTTTTTTTAAATATATGTAAATATTAATAATAATGTTTGCTTGGAAAGGGAAAAAGTTCAATATTTATCATAATATATAATTTTATCTATTATTTTCAATTATTTTTTATAAAAAACAAAAAAAAAAAATACTTTTAAAATAGAATTTTAATATTAAAAATATATTAATTATTATTTTTTTATTTAATTATTACTGCTTTGGGTTTGGCTAAAATTTATGCATTATTTTTCTCATTTTATTCTCGGCTTAGTTTATTTCGTTGAATTACTAATTATCTATTTATTATATTTATTATATTTTTTATAAACTTTTAAGGGTAAAATTATTTTTTGTCTTCTAAAATTCAAGTTTTTTAAATTAATTGTTTTCCAAAATATTAAGAAATCTAAATGTTCCGATCATTTATTTACACAGCACTAATATTTTAATGTCAGTCTCAAAACTGGCAATAAATATATTTAAATTTGTCATTTATTAATTTTCAATTTAGTTTAAATGTTTTTTTTTTCCAAAATTTCAGGGAAAATACTTGTTTGCATAGAGTGTTAATACGGATTATTTAGCCAGTTTTTTTTCATACAAAATCCTGTATAACAGTATAAATTAATTACCAAGTGAAAATCATTTAAAAATTAAAAAAAAACAAACGCTTTTTAAAGTTTAAAACATTATCTTACTATTAGTTATGAAATTTTTTAATTTACGAATTTTTTAATTTCTCAGTTTAGTTTATTCTATATACAATATTATTTTGTATTTATATATTGAAAATGTTGCCAATAGAAAAATATTAAATTATTAAAATACTTATATTATTTATTATTTAGCTCAGGAAAAAGATTTTGAATTCTTTTTTTTGGAAATGCACGCTCCGATTTAAATTTATGCAGCGTGTATAGTTGAGCTTAAAAAATAAAATTTTTGGCTTTATCTTCATTTGTTTAAATTTTAGTTTAAAGATTTGTTATTGTTATTTGTTGTTATTACAATTTTTTTAATAATTTTTATGATGAATTTTCATAATTTTTGTAAATGCCTTTTGTCATTTCTGTTCGGGAAAATTTGGAAAGGTTTGTTTATATATGTTATGTGTTTATATTGTTTTTATATATTTTTGTTTTTTATTTTTATATATATTTTACATAAACACTAAATTCTTTATTTTTTATGCTCTTTCTTAAATAGCAGTTTTTTTTGTTTTTTATTAATTCTTGTATCTCCTTTTATATTTTATTAATTTCATAAAAATTGCACTTTTTTGAGCTGAAATTTTTTAATTAAAGTGTTTATTTTATTTTTACTTTTTTTATTTTTAATTACTTTTCCCCCGTCGTAGAGCTTCGGAACACTTAAGTTTGATATTTTTCGTTACTAATTTTAATTAATCGTTAAATTATTACAATAAACTCAAGCGCCAATATTTTTCAAATAAATTTCCACACTCAAAACTGTTAAAAACATTACCGTGAATGCAAGCACTGAAGAACAGAACGCGCCAAACGCGCAACACCGACTGAAATGAAATGAATTCAAAGGCGCGCTTTTTACATTGTGCCACACGACAGAAGTAACCCAAAAGCACACACACACATTACGAAAAAAATACAAATGTAAAAAACACACACAGAAAAAAGCAGTAAATCCAACGACAAATGCAGAGAAATGTAGACAGTCAAACAGACAGACAGACAGACAGAGAGTTGTAGGGACAACCGCAAACCATGTGCAGGCAGGAAGCCGCAATAAGCGAGCAGGAAATAAACACAACCAGCAACAACAACAAAAACAAAAGCATTACAAATATTGTTGGTGTGAAAAAGTGGTGAAAAAGCAGAAACAGACGAACAGGCGAAGCGAAGAAGCGTGAAATGCTTGTGGGTGCAAAGTGCTAGCGGTGCTACAGTGGTGTTTGCATGCGTGTGTGTGTGTGTGTGTGTGTGCTATGGATACGAACCTGTCTAGAAAAGGCAAAACCACAGGCATTTTAAGTGGTATGAGAGAGAGCAAATTTTTTCTATCTTTTTTTTCTAATTTTTCTGTCACTATTTTGGTTTGTCTCTGTGTGTGCCAACAACAGTTCATTCATAAAATTTGCCGCCGCTTGTCCACCAATTGCTGACATCAACAAAAACATGCGCTGAATAACGACGCGAGCGCAGCTGAATTGCATGGTGGGAAGGAAAATGCACGCGTAACTCTATGGAGGGCCTCACGGGTGGTAGCCACGTGCTTGTGGAAACACTTGTTGCCGCCAAATGCAATGTTGCAGCTGAGTTTGTACGTGTGTTTGTACTACTCAAAATACCAACACGTCCACAAAAGCGACCACAAATTATGCACGACTACTGTGAGGGCGCGCGGGTGTTTGGGCGATAACTTGTTAATGCAATTTTTAACCTTTCAAACGACAAGCATTTGTCTGCTATGAAACCAGAATGCCAGCGAATGTGTGTTTACATGTGTGTATGCATGTCTAATGTGTGGCTTATATTGAGTATTTTATTATGTTACCCCTTCGAATGTTTTTTTTTTTTTTATTTTTATTTTTTATTTGTTGTTTCTTCATTCTCAATAAAATTGTCAACAGTTGACAATCTAATAAATGTCGCACGATTAACTGACAAATTCACTGTGGTGGAAAAAAAGTGGCGGCAATCTTAAAGTATGTTACTTACATATTTATTCAATATGTAAAGGGTAACACATCATATACTCATAAGTTGGAGAAGAGCACTAAATGGAAATCAATAAAGTTGTAAATAAATTGAGTTAACGGGCTTTTGACAGTGCACATCCTTTCATGAAATCCTTATCCTTTTACAATATCCTTTTTTTAAAAATATACATACAAATGCTAAGAGGACTCAGACCTATTAGTTTGAATGGTTAAGAAGTGGGCTTTGGTCATTGGCCTCAACAGCCTGCTTTCTCTAGAGTGGATGAGTAAGCGTGCCGGAGGGATTAAGTATAAAGTCAGCGCAATCGCTTTTTGGCTCTCAGGACAATTTTGTTGAACATAACTTTCAAGTCGTGGACAACTTCGTTTGTTTAGGGACCAACTTCAACACTAACAACAATATTAGTCTTGAAATCTAATACAGAATCACTCTAACCAAAAGGTTCTCCTTGAGACTGAGTAGGCGAGTGAAGTGTAAAGTCCTCTCTCGATGAACAAAGAGCAAACTCTGAAGTTGCTCATCATTCCCGGTGTTGATGTTGTAATTTTTGGTGAATATTGTGTTGGACAAATAAAAATTCGGACGGTTCTGGTATAAAGACCCAATTGTCTGACTGAATCCAAAAGTTCGTTGTTGTTGTTGTTGTTGTTGTTGTAACCGCAAAATTATTCCCCAAAGTTCTTTTTGGGCAATGTTGCGGGAGTGACAGTCCTTGGCCGCATAAAAATCCGGGTCGTTCGGTATAAAGACCCGCTTGTCGCGGGAACTATTGGATTTTAGTCGCCTCTTACGACAGGCATGCCTTACCACGGGTAAATTCTTGAACCCCTAACCCGCAGGGGGCAATCCAAAAGTCTCAGGTAGTTTAGTTGCCTCTTATGGCGGGCATGCCTTCTTCTTCTTCTTTATTGGCGTAGACAAGGCTTACGCGATTATAGCCGAGTTAACGACAAAACTTAGTCAGCGCAGCAGCATCGTTTCTGGACTCGCAGAAGGGATGTAACCCTTATCCCAAAGAGGATAGAATCAATCATACCGCTTCTACTGTGTTCCGAGGAGGGTCAGATAATGCCGACGTCCGATAAATCAGAGTTTTATGGTCCTTTGCTTATAGAGAATGACGAATACCATAGTCGATGGAATGTTGAGCTCGTTGCGATCGATGCCGACGCCCGTTTTTGATATCGTGAGGAGGACAGCGCTCACAGGTGCTTTATTTGATTATATAATCTTCCTCTTTCGAGAGTGCGTGGGGGCAGAACAATGATTGGGTGAGGAAATTCTCTTTGCTTTGCTGCGGACGGTTATGAAACGTTCAAGCGTTAGTACTCGATGTCCGAATCTTTCTTTCACAACGAATCCAACACCAAAAGTTGCACTACTGCATATGACCACTGTTGATTTTATAAGTCGCCAAAAATTTACCTTCTTCCGCCCTTGTTCAGTCCATCCTATTTCCTGTATGGTGTTGAGGCCTGCCTTTGCATTTCGGAGGACTTCAACCAGCTGGACAGCGGCAATTTCTCAATTAAGGAACCTGATGGTTCAGTTGGAAGTGTTCAAATCATTGAAAATGAGTTCCTCGTTCGTGTCTTTGATCGTTTTTTCATTGCAGCTGGTTTCTGTTTGTCGCCCCTCAGTCCTCGACAGACCAGGAGGTTATTAGTTGGTATATCTTTATATAGTGAACTGCATGCTTCTGACGAACAGCCGATACAATTAGACTTCAGCGAACACTGAAGCCGAATATGAACAAAGTATCGGTGCCTGGACACAAGTAGCATACCGGATAATGAAATGTCGGACGAGCTTCTAAGGAAAGGCTCTTCCCCCCATTTCCACCATCAAGAAAGAGTTTGCCGCTGTTAACTTGTAAGGTCATTTTAGTATAGTCATTTATTAAAGATGTTAATTCGAGTTAGAAAAGTTCCAATGCGTTTTATATGGCCAGGATAATCTGGATAGCATGGGATAAAAGAAGGTTACGAGACTTTATCGCACTGAAAATAAAGGAGATAAGAAGAGTTATACGTGTAGCACAGGGCATATTCTATTACGCAGGCAATCTGAATCACCCAATCTCTCTTTGGGCGGCTGAATATAAGAAGAATCTTTGGAAGAGGACTTTGAAGTCTCTAGGGGAGCAATGATGCCGTTTTGTGATCTAAGTGAGCTGATGCCGGGAAATACTTCTACATACCTAATTAAACCGAGTATGTGGGAGTAGCTCCACTAAAGCGCTCTTTCTTCTAGACTTGACCACAGGCTTTATAAGGGTTTCTAATTTCCAGGATGCTCTACGTGGACTCCAATATAGTTATTAAATATAACCCCAGGATTCTAACTGCCTCCAAGCAGAAGCAAGGCTACAAATTAAGAAAGAGAGGCTAGACCGGTCAAGTAGTGATAAGATGATGGACATGTGAGAGTGCGGCAGATAAAGCCGAGATGAGTCTGTCAACTGAAAAGTGTCATTCCCAACGATTACCATGAAAAGGGTAAAGCGATACCCAGAGCTATTTTGCACGGATTTGATACTAATTTCAAGCAGAAAAGAAGGTATTTTGGGAAGAAAGAGGTTTTTTCATTAAGGTAAGGTCTTACATTTGCTTAGTTGCCATAGCAAAAAGTCGTAAATTTGCTCACAAACTCAAACTTCTACCTCAGGCAGTATACTCTCCAGAACCCTCTCCAGAACTATCTCCAACTGTTTCCTTTCTCCAAACCTGTAATATTGTATGTTTGGGTTATTTTTAGAGGTCAACACTGAAAATAAGCCATTTTGAGCCCTTTGATATATATCCTAAAACTGGTGCTTTCTAGCCGTTGAAACGTTTTTCCGCCAAGCCTCTCTTTTAATTTATTGGGTGCGTGATGATGAGCCGCTTCCGAATGGCCGGGGGATTTTTATGAGGAGCTTGAATTTCAAACCCGGAGAGCTTAATATCACCACCTCAAATAGAAAAATAAATTTTTTGTGATTTTGTGTTTCGGTTGAACCAGGACTCAAATCTTGGCCATCCGAATTTCAGTACGCAATTGTAACCTCTCAGTTATTGCGGTTATTCGATCCACTTGATGTTTTCTTTTGGACAGGACTTTTCAGCCGATGTGCATGTTTATTTCACCTGTTGATGGTACATTTCAAATTATGAACTAATTTCTTTACAATAAGCAATTATGATATCAACAAATGTCTGCTTATAAGTAATTCATATGACAATTATGACAGCTCATATGGCAAGAGTGACAGCTGAAGATGACAATTATACTTCCTTACTGAATATTATACCACCAACAAAGTTCATTGGTATAAATAGCCTTACAATGTAGGAAAGTAAAATATTCGAATTTCAAGTTTTGGCACAATATTTTTGAACGAAGAGTAGGAAAAGAGAGATGGACCTGAGACTTTTTAATTTTATAATATATTATTTTTTAAAAATTAATATGAAAGTTTTGGTCAACTTCAATTGCTGGGATATGGAAAGTGAGTGGAAATAAGTATTCATTTTTATTTATGCCTTGCAATTATGAGTAGAAACTTATCGAGAATTTCGAGTGAAAAAATGAGTATAAAAATCTAAAGGCCATGGAACGATGAGCAACGTGAATTGGCCTGAGAAAGGTAACGGGCTCTTCATGTCAGGGAATTTTAGTATTTTTTTTTTTTAGACATGTGGTGTTCAGGAAGAAACAAAACGTAAATAAAATAATCTTAGGACCAAGAAATTAGTTTTACGATAAGGATATGGGTTTGCCATTATTTTTCAAAAATAATTTCAGACAAGTGGCCGCCGTGGATGGCTTGAATGAATTCCAACAGAGAGGGATAATTTTCAACCGCTTTTTGCCGCAATTGGGTCCGTTTGTCAGCAATAACACTTGGAGCATTTCCTTTTATTGCGTCAATCTTCTTGGGCTTTGCATCGTAGACAAGCCTACAAAAAATATCTCATCGAAGTTGTAAAGCAGAATCTTGGACGACGCGATATCGAAAGTTTCCCTCAATAAATCGGTGATTGCTGCGTTAGCTGTATGGCAGGTAGCGCCGTTTTGTGGGCACCAAAAGTCATTCGCATCAATATCCTCCAATTCGGGCACAAAAAAATCATATATCATGGCTCTACATCCCTCCTCATTGATTGTAACACAATGTACGGCTTAGTTTATGAAGTAATATCTAAAAATAATTGCCTCTTTCCATAGAGCACACACCAAAAAGTAACTTTTTCAGCGTCCAATCAATGGCTTGTGGATTATTATTACCCCAAATACGAAAATTTTGTGTATTAGCGTACCCATTCGACCAAAAGTGAACTTCATCGCTGCAGAAAATTATCTTGTGAAAATCGTGATCGGTCGCCACATCGTTTTCGGCCCATTCATTGAACGTACGATACGCTTGATGATCGTTCGGCATCAATTCCAGCACAAGTTGGATTTTGTAAGTTCGTGAAGTTTTCTATGAATGGGCACAGTTGCAAATCTTACTCGCGTTGGTGGTTGGACTCAGTCGGGGCTTCTTCGATAATCAGCGGCAATAGCGTCTAAGGGGCGCACTGCGCGGGGTTTCAGAGGACGTACGTTATAGAATAGTGTAGGTCTTGGGCCTAGTACATATCAAGAATTCAAATCAAATACTTTATAAGATTCTGAGAAAAATATTGTTTCCTACTTCCCTTCACCACTTTCAATATTGTAAATAAATTTCCCTTAAATTATTTTTCAAACAACAGAGTTTTAGTGCCGAATTTGTTTTAATTAATATTTTTATATTTTTGTTTTTGTTTCCACAGCTCAACTGGCTTTTTATAAGCTGGCTGCTGAGAATTCATTCTACATCGATTCTGTTAATATCAATAATTCTCGCGCCATACAAGGCATTGAGTACCGTTTGATTGGTAAAAGGCCAACTATGGGCATTTTTATGGATTTAAATTGTAAAAGCTCCGAGGAACTCTTGGATATTGTAAGTATCAAAGTGAAAGTGTTTTGAGTCTACATGTTTCTCCGACAAAAGGAGAGACGTACACTATATTCTAAGATGCCTCTCAACGGCCGATGGAGCTACTAATTCGAAGTACTGTACATTTTCTGTCGAGGGGCGACCGTAATTCGAAAAATGAATTGTCTATAATTTTGGTTGTATGGTCACACTGGGACTCGAACCCTGTTCTGCCGAATGTTAGTACACAAGACTAACCGCTCGGTCTTGTTTTCGTCGATACATTTAAGATATTACAATATATAGACTTAACTAAAGAGAAGTTTTCACTAGAAAAGGCTGGTAAGTGTAATGCCGTCATTCTTTCCTCATTCACTGCTTAAAGAAAGTAGTAACTTCAGGAGGATTCTAAGTGTCATATGGATCTAATGGGTGTCATCTGTGTAATGGTTTTTCCTCTCCGGGTGAAAAAATACCTTCTAAAAAGTAATATTAGTTTCAGATTTCTCTCTTTGTAGGCAAAAGCACTTAAATCTGTTGTAAGACTTTTCCCATTAAAAGCTCTGGTGTTCATTCAATAGATCTATCATTGTCCAACCCTCTGTAAGAACGTAAAAAGCTTGTGTTTTCATTACCTACTCAGCGCGAATTGTACTTCAAGGCTCATATTTCTATTAGCCGAGTGAGTTGTGTAAATTCGAAGTCGCCCTAGAAGGTTCCATAAACTCAGATTCCTACAAAGAAATGAATTTGAAATCAAATTAACAAAAGATGCTGAAGCAACCATCCATCCTGCCATTTGGGTTTCAGTTAAGATCATAAGAGTCGACGCATTGTTTCATAGAATTTTCCACCATTACCTCTGTCGGCTAGTTTGTGAAGCTGTTTTCAGTCTGCAAATGGGCTCATTGTAGCCGAACGCAAAATTACGTTGTAGGCAGCCTCTTTTCAGTCACTGAGGTATGGAAATTCTCTTGTCGAAAACCATTAGCTTTGTTGATGGCTACACGTAGGGAGTTTCCTTTCTACCGAGTTGCTGATGAGTGTTCTCGGAGAGCAGAAGTACAAGTCGAGTAGGCGAGCGTTTTTTACTGCCCAGAGCCGGGTGCGAGATTTTCGAGAGACTTTAGATTCACAGACAGTCAAGTATATTGATTGATCTTTTTGTGCAAGAATAAAGTTCACACTGCAGACAACCATATTTGGGCACACCGTCCTTCTCTACCGTTTGGGCATGCGACAAGACTTTCATACACCGGGCTAAGTGGCGATGGAGTTTCTCTTCCACCACAAAATTACGTTACTTCACATGTCCGCTGTAATAAAAGTTACAGAGAACCTATGTCTCATCATCACCTTTACCTTTCCTAGGGCATCAACCGGCTGGGCATCACCAAAGGGGGAGTCTCTCATACGAGGATGACATAGATAGAGTTGATTTCTACGTGGCGGATCTTAAAACGCAGCACAAACATCGCTAGGTATAGATTTTGGGCACATTTATTTACCCAGCCGCTTGCTTTAAGACTGTTGCTTGCTCGCAGCCGCATCTTTTGTGCCTAGAACCTGTAAAAATACTCTAGTGAGCTCTTGAACCGGATATATCGGAGTGACTTTACTAAAGCTTCCTATTTTGAGAAAATAATTAACTATATTTGCAAAAAAAATCTTTCAGATTAACAGCGGATTTTTATTTTCCACACCCCTCACAGGCCAGCAGGGAGCGCCTCTTTAACGATCATTTCTTTTGGCTAATCTACGATGAAATGGCAAATGTGACATACTTTCGAGGGCTTTTCAAGCAACTAAACCTCGCTGTTGATGCCGAGATCTCCTATGCAGTCTTAAACAACCCAGGGAGTGACTGGAATGAGGGCACACTTGCGGTCTATACACTCTACGACGTCTACAATAACGGATATTATTATGGCGGTAAATTGAATATGACGCTGGATCGTGAGGTAAACTGCGATGAAGAAGAGTGCAAAGTGAATAAATATCTCTCGAAACTGCATTTGAGAAATAAGTACGGCAACAGAAATCGGTTGCATGACGCCACTTTACGCCTCACGGTGGTGGTAGGTTGAGTTTGGGTATGAGTGGAGCAGTTTGCATAGTTTTTTTTTTCTGTATTTCAGGTTACCAAAGTGCCGATCACTAGTCCGCCGGAGCAGATCTTCACGTTTCTACGTACGGTTAATAACACCAGTGAAGATGCCATACCACGTTTCGGCTTTCAAGCGCTGTCCATATTAGTGCACATCTTGGGCTGCAAGTAAGAAGGCGGTGATAGTTTTGAATTTTTTTACCATTTTCATGCCTTCACATTACAGAACCAATCACACCTTTGTCAATCGTTGGACGATCAATGAAACACACGGCGGCCTCATAGGCGCCTTAGCCGTTCAGAGTGCTGATCTCATATCCACACCCTTCATACCGACACCGCCGCGCATGGAGTTCTTCACTATCATTGCTGAGACGTCTTCATTTCGTTCGATTTGTCTTTTCCGTACGCCACGCAATTCGGGCATACAGGGTGATGTTTTCTTGAAACCCTTCAACACCACCGTTTGGTCACTCTTTGCGCTGCTACTACTCCTGACAGCTGTAGTTTTGTGGAGTATCTTTCGGCTGGAGCGTTATCGCATGAAAAAACGTTATATCGATTATATGCAGTATATGCCGTCGATTTTGGCCACATTTCTCATCTCATTCGGCTCGGCTTGTGCACAGGGCAGTGATATGGTGCCGGGTTCCATTGGTGGTCGCATGGTGTTCTTTACTTTGTATTTGCTTACATTTCTCATGTACAATTATTACACGTCGATTGTTGTGTCGTCCTTGCTCGGTTCGCCCGTGAAGTCGGATATCAAGACAATGGGTCAGTTGGCTGACAGTTCGCTGGAAGTGGGTTTAGAGCCGTTGCCGTTCACGTTGACCTATTTGAATGTGAGTAGTTTTGGTATATATATTTTTTTTCAATTTTCTAAATATTCTTGACAAGTTTCATAATCTATGACTGAGTTCGGTTAAGCCAATGCCTGCTGGCTGCTGCGTCTTAGGTCTTTTGGTTTCTTGTAGCGCCAAAGCGAAGTTTAACTCGAGGCCAAGTAGTAGTAGCGTAGGAAAACAAAGGTTTTTGTATAGTTTGAAAGGGCTTTCACAATCAACTTTGAGACTTCTTCTGGTCCTCTGAATGAACTCAAGTATTATTAGTGCAAATGAGGTACGCAAAAGGTAAAACTGCCACTGATCTAGAACTTGCTAAATAAGATCAAGACCCTGGAAAATATACGGCTTATGCTGTCAACAGAGTCCAACTCCTGGGGGCTAGAGGCTCAAGAATTTACCCGCGGTAAAGCAGGCCGGTCGTAAGAGGCGACTAAAACCCAATTGATGCTGCTACAGTTGGGGGTTGAGGTTTTTATATCGGATCGCCGCGTATTTGTATCCTGCTAAGGATTGCCACACCTGCAAAATGCCCCGAAAATCAATTTGGTGGATTGTTTTTCGATTACTACAGTAACAACAACAACCGATTCCTATTGAAGATCGGAAAAAGTGAATGCCACATCATTGGGCATCGATTCGTGAAGAGATCATTTTGGTTAAAATGGCTGACGCATGCGACGAAAGCAGCAGTTCATTTTTCAGATTCCTACTTCATACCTTTGGTAACCGGTAAATACCATGGGAAACGACACTTTACAGCCACCTGCATTGAGCTGCTAAACGAAAGTCTCTCTCTATTAAAATCACATTTCTAGGAAGCACAAATAATTTGATTTGTGCTAGCGCCTCATTTTATGGTTCTTCCCTATAAAAAAAAAAAATTTTTTTTTTTGGGAGTCTTCAGATAGACTGAAAGCAAGCCCAAACTTCTGAGTCTGTAATCCCTTGAAAGACTTCAAAAACACATTATTTCACCCCACATTATTTCACTCTAAACCCAGTTTCAAGGCAATTAATGCAAATTTCAGAATTCTCTCTTACCGGAGGTACGTCGATTTAAGCGCAAAATAGACTCAACACCTAATCCACAAGCGATTTGGATGCCGCTGGAGAAAGGCATATTACGCGTGCGTGATCAACCTGGTTTCGTTTTCGGTTCTGAAGCATCCCCGGTCTTCTTGCTGGTCAAACGCTATTATAAACCATATGAAATCTGTGATTTGAATGAGATACTATTTCGACCAGAAAAAAGTCTCTATACGGGCGTGCATAAGAATTCGAGTTTCAAGGAGGTGACCAAACAGAGGTAGGTGAATATAATTTATTGTGTAGATAGATAAATAGAAACTAAATTTTTCCCCATCACTTTCTCTATCTATCTCTCGCTCTCTCTGTTGGAATCTCTCCATTTTTCTCTATGTTTAACTCGCTATTTTTCTCTCTTTCTTTCACTCCTCTTCCACAGAGTCATACGCATTCTGGAGACCGGTGTTCAATTGAAACTCCACCGTTACTGGGTCCAAAGCACTTTGGAGTGTTTTGATAGTAATTTCATTGTTGAAGTTGGCATGGAATATATGGCACCGCTCTTTATGCTCTTAGCTTGTACTTATCTTTTGGTTCTACTCATTTTACTTTGCGAGATTTTGCATAAGAAATATTGGACTGATCGTAAGATGAGATTGGAGAGTGTGTTATTTGGCAGGAATTGGCATAATGAGTGAAGGAGGAGGAAAAGAAAATGATTCCAGAGACTCAAATATTAATTAAAAATATACATTTTAGCACTTAAAATATATAAAATTATTGCTTCAAACATTTGGTCGCACCACTTATAGCACTTTGTAATATTTTCCCTGTTGATATATAGAAATTTTAAAATAAACGCAATTAAAAAATCTTAATTTTTGGTTTTTATATTATTGTATATCAACACAATCTACAGTTGAAGAAAAAGTTAAATTTTTCTTTAAACCGATTTTTCTTTAACTTAATTATAAGTAATTAAGCTTGTAGGGCTAGGAGGGAGAGGAGATTTTGAATAAGAAAACAATGTTATTAAATAATACCCTTGAATTTTTCATCGAGTTGCTTGGCTCTTACTTCCTTTGGAGGTGAACTTATCACTAGGAATAATTTAAGCGCTTTGTAGCCACAGAAGCGATGATTTTCCGCCGAGTTCATTCTACCAATTTGTGGTTTTGCGTATTGATCTTTTTCCAACAGTGGTCCAATGGAGCGACTTACACAATTTATGCTAATAAGCCGCCTTCAAACGAACGGCTGATGGCTTTTTTAAGAGGAGAATTTATTTCGTGTCAGAAATACACTCGGATGGGGTTTACATTTCCTGCCGAGGGGCTCCCGCAATTAAAAAATTTAGCATAATTTTTTATTTAAATTAATTTTCTATAACTTTCAGATTTTTGGTCGCACTGAGATTTGAGCCCGATCATTCCGAATGGCAGTACGAAATGCTAACCACTCGGCTACCGCGGCTGCCTATGTATATTACTTCAATATCCATCTGAGAATTGCATACTATTTAAAGGGCAGGTAGCAAAATCTGATGCCTAAAAGTATGCTACGGAAGACGTTGCTCGCTCAAAATACAAGTAGCTATCAATAGTTAGTAAATTATGAAATATTGGAAAGGAATAACTGCAATAGACTAACTTTTCTTTTATTACACTACCCTTTTCATTTATTTTCTTACATTTTTTTTCCATAAATTAATTATATGTTAATATACATCCATCAATTTAGCTAGTCAAAGCCTGTCAACGATGTCATATGAAATGAAGATTGGCTGTTTTGTTGTCAGATTTACACAAATTGCCCATTCGTTACACTTAATTATGTATATGTATTGTACAATAACGTTTTTGTTATTTTATTTTTAAAGCTTCAAAACTAAGCTGAAGTGTCGTCAGTGCGAGTAGCTCGATACTCATTTGTTGCTCAACTGCTCAAGCGTTTGTTTGAAATATTTGCATAATTTTTAAAATTGCAGGCAGAAGTTCTGAGAGAAAAGTCAGAAGTTTTGTTCAGAATGATCGAAAAAGCGCAAAAAAGCTCGAAAAAGCTCGGATTGATTGAGCTTGTATTCGAAAATTTGCGAACAATGAGCAATGAACAAGTTATGCGTATACTCACTATTCAAATGATCGAGCTGGTCCGAACCAAATCTTTAGCTCTGGGGTATGCATATACAGTGGGGAGCAAAAGTACACACTAAACAAACGAAGTAAATGACAAAAACTTTTTTTTATTGTTTATTTTTTACAATTAAGCGTATATAGCAAAATAGAAAAAGAAGAAATGGAATAGTTATGATTTAAAAATTGTTAAAAAATGGCTCGAGAACCAAAATTTTAAGAGTGGCCAGCGCACGTCCCGAGTCAATCTTAAGGCGACGGCTCGGACAGTATCAATCAGCCCCATCCAACTTGGACGATGTTTGGGGGCATATTGGACAAGAGTGGAAAAATATTCCGAACAGAATATTCGAGAAATGCGTTAAAAGTATACCAAAACGTATGAAAAATGTCATAGAAAATAAGGGTCTCTGTACCAAATAGTAGTAATGAATTTATTTTGTATTTTTTCTTATGACGCTGCTCAGTTATGATTACTAAACCCAAAAATTTATTAGTAATTGTAAGCAAATAACTTTAGACCAAAAAGAATAAAAAATTTGCATTTACATAAATTATACATTTATTCTTCCAAATTAATTTCATCGCCTTCGAAGGAATCCCAGTGGTGCAATGCCCAATATATGCCAAAGGTTTTTTCAACGATTTTCATTGAAACTCAACGATCGGCTTGAAATGTTTTCTCCGCAGCGGTCCTGAGAGCTTTCTCAATAGCCTTGGAAATAGAGCAAGCGAATATAATGATTGCGATACATATAAATTGAATTTTTGGCGAAAAAATTTCGAAAAATCTAGGGGATATTTGTATTTTCTCAAGCACATAACATCTTTCCAAATGATGTATACTAATTCATTTGAAATGTCAACCATTTTGGAGTAGGAATTCTTAGATATTAATTTGCGACGAATTTATTTTGACGCACTTTTCTGCTTTCAAGATTAGTAAATTTTTTGTTTAAGGAGTTTAGTTACCGAAATCGACCTACACCATTTTCAAACCAGTATACAGAACACGATGAGACTTGATACATATGTACATACAAATAATTCCCACAGTTTAGCAAGAATACGTATTGAATATAAGCCATAAATACACTTTTATATCATCCCTGCAGGGGAAAATACTAGTTGTTTACTAGAATTCGACTAGTCTACATTTTACACCATTCATACATTTTCCATGTAAGCAGCTGGTATTTTTAACACGGCGATGTCCTAGGAGCTGACAATTGTCCTACTATGCATCAGCTTTATACTAGTTTAATACTAGTTCATATATCAATATCTACTTCACCAAACAGAAAAAAAGAACTGAATCAAAGAAAATTCAGTTTGCCGGCTATGAGAATCTAACCGAGAACCTCACGCTCCACAAGTAAGACCTCTAACCACCAAGCTAACGCTATGAAATATGGATGAATGAAATCTGCGCACTTCAATAGAACTTTTTAGGAAATGAAACTCAGCCGTGTCATGTTAAAAGCAAAAACAACATATGAATAACGTGGAGGTAATAATTTCTGTTTTATTAAGATTAAAAAAAAATTTAAATTAAAAATTTCTGCTTCAGCAAAAATCAAAATTAAAAATTAAAAAAAAAGAATAAAACTTAAAAATTATTTTACCTCTAACGGAACTTGAACCGAGGTCTTAACGCGCTACAGAGTTAACCATGAACTACTCGGCTATCATGACGTTTCAATAGAACAGCGCAAAGAATGGTCAACATACTAGTATTTAACTAGTTGGTTTTCCCCTGCAGGGAAATAACAGACTTATACTTTCAATCACCGCTTGCTTCCTCTCTATAATAACTTTTTGCCATACAAAATTCCAATTAGTGGCAAATTCGCTCTACGTATTACAACACTGACCCGGTTATACTTATTATTTTGTGAAAATATACATTTCTACGTACAAAATTTTCCAAAGTTACCAGGAAAATTTATTTGCAAATTTTTTTTTGCGAACTGATTAAGTTATTTCCTAAAAAAGTGAAAAAACGGCTAGGATACAACTCTGAGTGAGTGAAAAGTTTAAAACTGATTTCGGAGAACTTTTTAGGATTTTTCATTAGAGTCTCCAGAAAAGAGAAGGAAAACAGAAAAATCGGTTTTTTTTTACTTTTTGAGCGAAAATTTGAGATTCCTTCGAAATTCCTCTATTTTGTTGCCCAGTGTAATTGTTCAGTTCTTTAATTTTAGCGTCAATCACTGCGCTTAAATCAACTAAAATATGCCTCATCACTTAGCAATCAATCACAGAAATTGTTGACTTTATATCAATATTGACATTTTCATTACTAATCAGTGTTGACAGGACATGCTGTGTGCAATTATTAACCCTATGCAGGGGAAGATGTTTTATTTTAATATAAAATAAAAATAATTATATTATATATAATAAAAATTTTAAAATAAATTTGAATACAGTATATAAATTTTTTTTATAAAAAAATTTTCAAGTAAACTATTTTTGCAATAGATGGTTTTCGTGAACTGTCTCTCCCGTTCTATAAGTGTAATTGGATTACGCTAGTTTTCGCTAGAGTGATGATATTTTGTATTAAAATAGGTAGCGAGAGAATTTTGAAAAAATTTTCTTCGTGAAGGCGAACACTTCAGGCAACTGAAAATGTGAATAGTTTTTATGGTTCCGATACTGTAACTGTCAGTCATGCTCGATTTGAGTTTCGTCTATTTTGTTCAGGAAATTTTGATATAAAAGATGCTCCAATTGCAAAAAATGCAAATAAAATAACAGAAATTGTCGAGGCTGATCATTATGCCAGCACTGTTTTGAGCGCCCAGGAGTTAAACTTTGCATAAAAACAGTCTCCGACCACTTGGAAAAAAACTGAATGTACGAAGAAGCACGATGTATGAGTGTACGAGAAAAACCCTATAGACCGAATTAATTCCATACGCGAATCGAACCATTTTTGAAGCGTCTGGCGACTGTTGATGAAAAGTGATTAACTTACAGCAACGCCAAATGAAAACGGTGGTGATCACAGGACAGTGAGCAGACACAAACAGTCTCCAAAAGGACATTGACAGCCACAAAGGTTTTGTTCTGTGTTTGGTGGAATTGTCGTAGTAGTCATCCACCATGAATTGCTCCCATACGCCCAAACTTTCAATTCGGAACTGTAGTGTCGGTAATTGCACCCTCTGAAGGAAGCAAACGCTCAAAAACGCACAGTTTTGGCCAAGAGCAGTGCAATTGTGTTTCATCACGTTAGCACCAGATTAGATACTTGAATAGTGACTGGGACTGCATCGAGAGCTTGGTTGGGGTGTTATTACGTATCTATCTTAAAGTCCGCCGAACCTCGCCCCAAGTGATTAGCATATGTTCTCATCTATATCGTTTGATTTTGTTGGTGTAGAATTGGCTTCAGGTGTAGATTAATTGATTGTCCCAGTTTTTTGCTAATATCTACAAGGGTTTCTTTGAGAGAGGTATAATGACTTACCTTCAGAATGGCAAAAGGTTAACGAGCAAAACGATGCAGATTTGAAACAAATCGAATAATTCTAACTATGGTAAGTGAAGCTTTCAATTTAATGTGAAATAAAAAATTATTTTTTACTTTTTTTTACTGCCTATAGTGGCCTGAGTATTTTAAGTTCACATTCGACTGTAAGGGTTAATTTACAATTTATTTCATTACAGCTAATTTTTAGGCCTACCAAGAGTATTTGTTTTATACTAAGTTAATTGAGTGATTATCCATTAAATTGTTTGCTTCACTTTGTACGATGAAGAAGAGATAATTTTGACATTTCATGACAGTTCAAAATCGTAAAAAAAGATGAGTATTATGAAATTTCAATGCGCTCAGCCTTAATATAAATACCAGCCTCAGCAAAAATATGCTAGATTCTTTATTTTCGGTTTTTCGATACATTGAGCGCGACTAGCAATAAATCTTTCGTAAAAAAATGCATCAAATGCTCTTCAATTTTATTATAAATCATTTTTTGAAAGCGAATATTTATACGCTCTTAGTGTTCAATTGCTGGGATTGGCAGGGTGAGTTATCACTTGAAATTTTATTAATTTTTTTTCTTAGATTTCGCTATTAAATTTAAAAAAAAATTTATTTTAAAAAAAATTCTAAATTTTTTATTTAAATTTATTTAATATTTAAATTAAATTAAAAATTAATTTTTATTTTTATTTTAGTAAAAATTTTTTCTGTAATAGTTTAAGCAGTAACGTATTCTGTTTTTTTCTTTTAATATTAATTGATTTTCCTACAGTTCAACGTCAGTTTTTACATAAGCTCAATGAGAGATCTCTGTATACGCGTTTTGTACACATTGAAACGGCTGATTTCTCGGGGGATTTTGAAAGTCACTACTTGCGACATGGTCGACCTGGTTTGGGAGCGTACTTAGACATGAATTGTAATAGATCGGCGGAGCTAATGGGTACAGTAAGTATGAAACAAAAAGGAGAGAGGAAGATCACTGAGACCCAGTATTGTTGGCCAAAACACCAAGGTCTAGCACTAAAGACTATCGAGAAAGGTGATATTTTTTCGAGAAATGTAGGTGTCTATGGATAATTCTAATACGCCTCCGTAGGGATAATGGACTTTTATGAGGTTATTTCCCTACCGAGGCATGACCGCAATTTAAAAAACTACTTCAAAATTAAGTTTCTATAATTTTGGATGTTGGTTCCGTCAGAATTCGTACAAAAGACTCTTCGTATGGTAGCACGGTCTATTAATTATGCGACTACTGCAATGGATCTATAATGGGAAACACAATTCACGCATGAGTTCCGAATTCCTGGTATCTTTTGTACCTCAGTTTTATGTTTGAGTAGTCTTCCTGGTTCAAAGTTGAAATTAAGCCAATCTAATGCGGCTTCTTTGTGAATTGTTTAATATCGAAAGAGCTCCGGTGGACTTTTAGTTCCTTTTCATTGAAACTCATTTCTTCAGCTCTACATTTAATAAACTAAAGGTTTACCATTTCACATTAACTCGTCTTTAAACGATTGATTTTTGGCTACTCCGAGGTTTCTTTATTTCAAATCGGAAGTCTGAAGTACTCCGTTCCGTTGGAGTATAGTTGAAGTGATGGTCTTGCTCCATGTACAATCACGTGGTGTTCACGTCAACTAATGAGCTAATTTTCACCTGAAGTGTACACTTTTTCTAGGTAAAATTAAATCGAACACAGTTTGCTATAAATGGTTATACTTAGAGTCCATACTTACTAGTCAGAATAGTGTGCTGTTTTTCCAGCATTTTCATGAAAGTCTCTTAAGGCTTATACCCTTATTAAAGACTTTAATTTACTTGTCCCTTTGATTTGCTGTTTCTGGCTCTTCATCTTCTTTACAATCCATGCAGAAATAGTTTTCGGCTCAGTCTATTTGTGTGTCTGTCTGTCCAATAAAATATATTATGTTAGGTGGCCCATTTTCCTTTTTCTTTTCCTTTTAGTCAGGTAAGCTCTCGGAAGCAATAAAGTCCTCTCAGTCAGACGATTTAACTATGAGCTGTACGAGTTATACGGTGCCATTGATACAGTTCAGAGTATAACGAGGTAGAGGCTCCACTGCCGTGGTCTTGCTATCCGAACCGAAATGAAAGTATTCGGTTGGAAGCAGAGGAAGGGGAAAATGTGCGCTCAAATGGAAGGATCAGATCTTACTTGGTATTTCCAGCTGGCGCCAAACAAGGAAGAAACGAATGACGCGCGATTCGGCTATCATCGCGGAAGCGGTGACTAAGCCAATGAAGAAGATGAAGCTCTCGCGACCATCTTGCATACCATGTAGGCCATTGTAAATAATTGGGACTCCTCCATCCAAATTTATAGAGTTATAGTAAGCGTGTGTAGTCGCTCTCTACTCAAAAAAAAAAAAAAAACATTAAGCGATATGTTTTTGTGTCTCGGCCTCAATACCAGTGATTTTGGGCAATAATTTGAACGTGAGAGTACCATTAACTCTAGGCCATTAACAACTTCATGTATGTGGGTCCGCCAGTTTCCCTTGAAATGCACTGCAGTGATAAGGAATACGAAAGTTTATATCAAACTCTTTTGAATGGTTTTGGTCCGTGTACAATCTTGCGAAACTGTCGCGAATTGAGTGATGGTTATATAGAAGTCTCTTATAACTTGACAGCTTCTTAAAATAATTGCATGACAATGGTTTACCAGTTTTCATTCGGTCGTTTAGAGATTCCGCAGAACAAGCAGCTCAACATCGCACCTAATTTTTTTGGAAACACTTTTTTCCACTTACATATATATACTAGAATTCTCCTTTTTCTTCAGCTCAGCCATTGGCGACTCTACAACGAACACTACAACTGGCTACTCTACGATCGTACCGCTGATTTGGACAACTTCAGACGTATCTTCACCGATGCCAACTTAGCTGTGGATGCAGAGCTTACGTATGCGATCTTAAAACCAACGTTACCTCGCAATCTCACTGAAGCGAGCAATATCTCGTACATAGCATATGATGTCTATAATAACGGTCGTTTTTTGGGTGGCAAATTGAACATGACTTTGGATCGTGAATTTGAATGCAATCTGGAGAGTTGTTATATAAAACGTAACATCAGCGCATTACACACGCGCACCAAATACGGCAATCGAAATCTGCTACATGATATAACAATGCGTGTAACGGTGGTGGTAAGTGGTATTCTTGTAAGTGAGGAAAAATTGTTTTCTTAATTTTTTGCCTTCATAGGTCACCAAGCGACCGCTGAGTTTGCCTGTGCCGGTGTTATTGGACTTTCTCACCTCCGAGAACAATTCAGATGTTGATCCAATCTCGCGTTTTGGTTATAAAATATTTTTGATCTATAAAGATTTCTTCGGTTGCAAGTGAGTTATGTGTGCAGGAAATAATATGAGAGTTTTAAACTTAAACTACTTCTATTCATATCATTAACACTATTTCTTGAATTTATTTTCTTCTCTGTTACTATTTCTTTCTGTATTTATATATTCATTTACATCTCTCTCTGTCCCTATCTCTATCTCTATCCCTATCTCTATCTCTATCTTTATCTCTCTCTATCTCTATTTTTATCTCCATCTCCATCTCCACTTCCATCTCTATCTTCATCTCTATTTTCCCTTATCTCTATCTTTATCTTTACCTTTACGTTTATCTTTATATTTTTCCGTATTTTTCTTTTTATCCATATCTGTATCTGACTCTTCTGACTATATTTATATTTTTATGTATCTATTTTTTCGATTTACTTCTCTCTTAATTTTTATCTTTCTCTTCTTTCGTTTTCTATCTATTTCAATATTTTATTTGATTTCTGTGTTTTACACAATTTTATTTCTCTTTCTCTGTCTCTGTCAATTTTCTTTATTCTTGTTCACTTTCTGTTTCTGTTTTTCTTTCACTCCCGTTCCCATTCCCATTCGATTTCCCTTTCCAACCCCATTTGTCTTCCCCTTTCCCTTTCTCTATTTCTATCACTTTCCCTTTCACATTCCATTTCCCGTTCTCTTTCTATTACCCGTTACCGTTCCCATTCCAATTCTATTTCATTTTCTATGCCTTTGTGCTCTTCACTTTTCCTTTTTCTGTGTTTATATCTTTCTCTATTATAATACCTATACCTAATCTCTTCCCCATCTATCCCTTCCTCTCATTAATCTCTCCACCTCTTTGTTTCTACTTTCTTTTTAGAATGCGTTACACCTTTCGCGCCCACTGGGGCTTAAACGATACTCACGGCGGTGGTGTCGGCGATGTGGCTTTGGGTTACTCCGATTTCTTATCGACACCCTTCCTCATCTCAGCTGAACGTCTTAGGTACTTCTCACCTCTCGTCGAAAGTGGCGGCTTTCGTTTGTTGTGCCTCTTTCGTACCCCGCGTAGTACCGGCATGAAAGGTAGCGCATTCATAGAGCCTTTTAATGGCTCTGTTTGGCTTGTGTTTGGCATTTTGTTGGTGGTGTCGGCAATTTTTCTATGGCGTACATTCGCCTTGGAGTTGCGAAACTTTCATACGAATTTATCGTATAAACCATCATTGCTGTCGACGGCACTCTTGGCTTTCGGCTCGGCTTGCTATCAGGGTAGCAGTATTGTGCCATCTTCGGCTGGTGGACGTATGGCATATTTTTCACTCTACTCAGCTACTTTTATGATGTATAATTATTATACATCGATTTTACTTTCCACTCTATTGGGCACACCGCCGAAGTCGGATATCAAAACACTGGGACAGTTGGCGGATAGTGCATTGAATGTCGGTTTGGAGCCGCTGCCTTACACGTATGTCTTTTTGAATGTAAGTGTGTCATAGTTTTTCTTCTACTTTTTTTTATGAGTCTTTCTGCGTTCTCAAGGGCTCCCAATTGCCCGATGTGCGTCGTTTTGTCTATCGCAAAATTGAGTCGAAAAAAGATCCGGAAAAGCTTTGGATCTCTGTGGAGGAGGGTATCTTAAAAGTACGTGATGAACCGGGTTTCGCTTTCGTGCTGGAGACATCGACGAGTTATCCCTTTTTGGAACGGAATTTTCTGCCACATCAGATCTGTGATTTAAACGAAGTGCTGATGCGTCCCGATAAAAGTCTCTTCACTCAACTGCATAAGAACTCATCCTATAAGGAGTTGACGCGCTTAAGGCAAGTCAATTGCTTCTTTAAATTTGATCAATTTAATATTTAATTTCTTATTTCCGACTACACACTAAAGAGGCATACGCATGTTGGAAACGGGCGTTTGGCGTAAGCACCGCAAGCACTGGTTTCGTGAACATCTCAATTGTGTGCCCAGCAATTATCTCTTTGCCGTGGGTATGGAGTACACAGCGCCGCTCTTTTTAATGCTCGCTTTTTCCTACATCTTGTGCTTGGTAATCTTGCTAGTGGAGAAGCTCATTAAACGCATGCAAGAAAGATTTTAATAACAGGTTTTACGAGGGGTTACTCTCATTTGACATACAATTCTATGTGGAGCATAAAATATAATGTTATGGAAAACAATTTTAACTCAATAAAATTAAGGTGAACACTTAGTGAACCCACTTGAGACTTTTCTTAGAAAGCACAACGAAAAATTGACTCGAATTACCACATTGCTTCATTCATGGATAGCTGATCAGCTCAGCAGGAGTAAAGCGACTTGGAGGAACGAAAGTTAACAAAGACAGCCGGACCAGCACGAGTCCGTTCCTCTGTCCTCTCAACATATTCTACAACCGCGAGAAAGGGGATTTCTGCCCTTCTATTAACTACCATGACCCAGAAAGATCACACAATAGTGGATGTTGAAGTGTAGCCAAATACAGAGGAGCTTTTGTCACGCATTAACGAGCCAATGCTGTTCTCAGTAATTGATTTGTAAATAAGTATAAGTATAGCAAGATTTTCATCACATTTGTAAAGCTCACCATAAGTGAACCTATGCAAACTACTCCCAAAAGCAGTATGTCCACCGCTTTGATGATAGCAGCAGCATCCACCGGAAAAACACTGCAATAGTCTCTAAGTCCGAACCTCCTCCCGATGGACACTTCTCGACAGAAGACCACCTGCCACCTTTTTTGTCTAGCTACGAGCCCTTCGTGAAGAAACAAAAAGGATCAATTGGTCTAAAGTCTTCGGAGATATATGCGATCTTTATTTGGACTTCTGAATGAAAACTACTTCGATTTTATTCCACGCCCTAAGAATGTCCCTGTTCGAGAAGATAAAAATAACCCATCTTATCTTTTATCTCTGGCCTGCAACTCTGCATCAAAGTGCAAGCGTTTTTCTCATGCAGAGCTGAGTACTTCGGCAAACAAATGAAGGGATTCAGCAGATGAAAATAAGATCATCTTTGAAGCGTCAAGTTTTTAAAAGATTTTCTGCAAGGACGGCTGCCGTCCACGGTGAACAAAATATGCCTATGATACGGTAAGCAGTTTTCCTTAAGAACTACACTGTTTAAAGTAAGAAGTATCAGTTTGGAAGGCAATGAAAAATATGAATTATATCAAATATGAAGGTCGTCGTTTCTAATGAATGTTTCAAACGGACTCTCCTTTCAAGTTTTATGTCCGAGCATCCGCAGCGTTAATTTTCAAAGCATTCTTTAATTACCCTGGCTTTACTACGCTTTACTTAAGTCAAAGCTTTTCTTAGAAGTGACTTAGGTGGATTCACATATTCATAGTGAGGCAAAGCACTTTCCACGACCGTAGTTTCGTATCGGTTACTAAAAATTTAATAAAGTATGAGAATTTCCACCGAGAAAATTTCTACCGGCAGCCATTCAAGTATAGCTTCCTGACTGCGGCTCTAGAGATACCGTTATTGCTCATCCACGGCCAGCAGAACTAAGTCAATTCCAAATTTTGTCCGACACTTCTGTATGCGTATTAGCATAACCCATTTTGAGTTATCTATATTTCCATTACCATTTTCGTACTCTATAGGTTGTTGGAAATAATTTTCAAAGATATCGAAATCAAAGAAGAGATTACCAAATAACCGATAATCAAATGGGTATAAATGAAATTTAAGGCGAACAGAATGAAAACCGTACATCAATCGACTTTTGCTTTTGATTCGAACCCTTTAAAAGGATTTTCAAAAAAACTCAATTTTGTGTGTTTATAAATTTTAAAGCCAGCCAGATACACACACCTGCGTTAAGTATTATATCATAATGAATAACGGTATATATTTTAATGTAAAATACATGTAAAAGAGATTCCACAAAACCACTGAACCAGTTTAGTTTTCTGTTGTAGGAATGCTGTTGAAATTAACATGATTTTGTTTTTGAATTTAATCCATTTATTTATACTTAACAGATTTTGAAACGAAGAGGTTAGCAATACCGTGGTGGCTAGAAATCTTTCAAGCCAATGCAGAGAGCAAAAAATTTAATAATGTTTTTCCTCGTTATAAATGGTTTAAGGTTTTTTGAGGCATGTTTTAACAGATTTATTGCTTTAAAGACTATACAGCAGTTAAGTCAGGATCCCTGTCTCAATCCGTGTCGCAGGAAGTCTGATGAAAGTCGTTGGTCATCTCGGAAGGAGCGTTATTTTGTGCGCGGCTGGGCAATTATACCCTTATAATAAAAAGTATGCTCTCTTTATCTACAAAATACTCCGAAACTGCCTCTTTGACTTCTACATCAATGATAAACCCACGGCTGTTTTACATTTTTGGAAACAGGTCATAATCACTCATAGCCAGATCTAGGATGGATGGATGGATGGCTGATTGAAAATATCGAAATCTGGCTTATACAGGACAACCTACGCAACGCGGCTCTTGTACCTTACGTTGTCCTTAGTCATGCCAAGATGACCTAGATGAGAGATGGATCTTGAAAATGGTTGTATCGGATACTCTAACCATTTCTGCGAGTTGTTTCTTTGGTAGTCGGGCATCGTCTAGGAAAATTTTTTTCTACTATTTTGACAAGTTTTGGCGTAATTGTTTCCAGGCTTCTGCCCGACTTCGTGATGTATTGAAAGGCCATTTGTATCTCATAGTTGTTACGGACAAGAGTCGCCATAAACTAATGACATCTCATTCATTATGGTCGCTACAGATATTTTCTGCTTGGTAAGCAATTTTATTTTGCTTTGATATTCGATTTATATTAGCTACAATCACGGAATCCTGATCAAGCGCACTTAGAGCTACTGGAGAGTCCTCTCTCCTTACCAAAGGCTTAAATCACTTGGTGTGTGTCTTATTAAGTTCAGGAGACTTATGACACGTGAGGTTGCAAGCTTTGTAGGGCAAACATTTTAGAAATTTCCGGTAAAACGACAACGGACCTCACTGAGAACTGGACAGTGGCAGCAGCTGCTACAAATTTCAAATGAGAAGCAGGCCATCCTTTTACCATCGGTCGCCAAATGACAGTGTCCGCTTATTACGCCAATTGTTATGCTCATGGACGCCGTAGAATTACCGCTTTTTATTCTCTCTTTTAAAATCATTTAATCTCCTCTCAAGGGTTTTCTTGCATTGTATTTACCTTTCACTTTCGCCGGTTTTGTATAATATTAAAATAAACTTTTTGAATTCTAAATATGTATATACACACGTACACATGCATATAGAAGTGCTTACTGAGCAGCGGAAAAGTATACATTTGAACTTGAATCAAAATTTGCATTCACATTTGCATTGTCAAGCAACTGCAGTCCTGCCAGCAGGAGGGAGGCAAGAGCTCAAAAAAAGGTGCCATGGATTTGTTATCCTTAAGGGCGCAAGCCGCAAAAGTTTGTGTATGTGAACGAAAGATAAAAGTGAAAAAATGCAGATTTCGTATTATGTCAAGTGTTCGAGTGTTTGGAGATGCAGATGTGTGATTTGTTGCACAAAACGCATCGGGTTAAGAAAAAAAGGTTGAGTTTATTTTATGCTTTTTGGAAAATAAATAAATTTATTTGCTGGCGGTGAATCTTTGTTATGCAGTTAATGCGCTTAAATGTATGAATTAATTTTGTTTTCGTAGAAGGGATATATTTAAAGAGCTCCATTTTACTGCGCTCGAATTTAATTCAACCCCTTTCGATTATCCTCGGACTAGTTGGACTAGGACAGTAGTTGGTGCAAGTTATATTGAAATACAAGAGGCTTCTACAAAACGGAGCCAATATATCTCTGGACTCGCAAACAGAAGCTACACTTTCAGCCCAGCCGGAAGCAATCAGAGTCTTTCTGCTCATGATGCCAGAGAACTTAGGCTGATTTATGTTTACATGATCTGCGACACTGATGTGGAACTGCCTACTTTGCTGTTGAGAAGAGCCTTGAGAAAAGCAAAACTAAGGAAAGCCAATAAGGGCGAACATTTGGGTACAAGATTAAGCTGTTTCGTATTTGCAAAATGGTTTGCAGCAGCCAGGGTGAAGGTTCTTGATCTGATCTTGACCCGTCCTTTTCCGTGTTGATACCTTTTACTTCAAAGTTGAAGGCCGTTTTGCTCAATAACTTTTTACCATTTTGAAGGTAATGTCAATACGCCTCTCTCACAGAAACCCTTCTCCTTATTGGTAAAAAATTGGTTTAATCGATTTTCTCAGACTTCTCTTGAGACCAATTACACACCAGTCAAAATATTCGCCATAGACACGAACAGATCGTAATCACCGGCTGGGAGTTCCGGACTGTAAGTTTGATGCATAAGAACCTCCCAACCAAGCTTCACGGAGCTTCTGGTGAGTCACTATTGCAGTGTGTGATCTAGTGTTGAGCTGATGAAACAAAATTCTCATCCCGTTGGCGAAAGCTGGACGCTTCTGAGTGATTGCTTCCTTCGGACGATTTAATTGCTGGCAGTACAGGGTTGAGTTGAGAGTTTGGCGGTAGGGGAGCAACTCATACTGGTTGGTTCTTTGCCAAGCCCGCCAAAGGGATCCACTGTTCATCACCAGTCATCATTCGCTTCAGAAATGTGTCAATATTGTTACGATTCAACAGCGATTCGCAGTTGGATATTCGGTCCTTGAGGTTTTTGTCGTAAACTCATGTGACATACATACATCGAACTTGAACCCTATCATGGAGCATATACCAATCGCACTTAGAGAACGCGAGACCCAAAGGCAGAGAAGTTAGAGCACAAATTCTAGTAGTGCTCCAAATGATTGTAACATTGATAAAATGCGTTACTTCTTCGCTTCAAGGAAATGTGTATCTTAGGTCCGTGCACGGGCCATTAGGCCACCGATCGCGCTCAATATGATACCACTAAGGATTCCATATAGTCGTCACCCGCTAGTCAAATGTGTAGAGTTAGCAAAACAGATTAAACTATTTCGTTCAAGTTACCAAAGGTTGCTGCCCTCCCCCCCTAAAGACATCAATCTAAACCTGGATAGTGCAGCTCATATGCGAAAGAATTGCCTTAAGGTCTCAGGCTCTTCTTCCTCTCTACAACTACTGCAAATGTCGTTTGATACTCTAAAGAAGATGCCTCATTAGAAGGCCCATCTTTATGGACAACTTTTTTATTTT